TTTTGAGACATCTATGTAGTTCAGGGCGGCCTCAAATTCACAATACTCCTGCCTCAGCTTTGCAAGTACTGCAATTACAGATTTGAGGCAACTCGTGCGGCTTCTATTTAGATTCTAGAAAACAAGGGCCTTGTGTAGCATTTCAAGACTCATCTCCGGTTTCAGAGATGCCCACTAATTTGAATTAGGGAACAAAAAAGTCATAGCTCTCAGCGTTTGACGCTTTAATCCAACAGGCAGCGCCTCACCCCAAGCAAGGCCTTCGGCATTAAGCCAGCGCTGGGGCAAGGGAGAGATCTCTTTATCTGCTTGGGCTTGGAATGCCAAAGAGGGAGGTACACCTCTGCTGGGCGACAGGCCGGCCTGGGTTAGCGTAGGTGGCGCGATTCTTCGCCGCGCTCGCCCCCGCCTGGGGCAGGGCTCCGGGGCTCTCGGGGGCGCAGCCCGCGGAACGGCGCGGGTTTGTTGGTGAACGGGTGCCACTGGCCCTGGATGCTGGGGTTGTCGGTGTGGAAGGGCTTTCGGATGCGGACCACGTCCAGGCCTGACTGGCCCGCCAGCTTCTGAACCAGCGCGGCGATCTCTTCCGCCGACTTGCAGTGGATGCTCTCCTCGCGCACGGCCCCATTGAGGTACTCGGCCACTACTCCGGGCACGCAGCACGGTCGGGGGTTCACGTAGACGACAACCCCTGGGTTGCGACGGGCGAAGTCGATCACCTCGCGTTCCACGAACTCCCTGGCGCCGCGCGACGAGGGCCCATCGCGGCTGAGACTGAAGCTGAGACGCTGCAGCTGCTGCACGTACCGCCCCAGCCCGTTGTGCAGGACGCTGGCCAGGAAGCGGCTCGCGGTGCCGCGCGCAGTCATGGCGGCGGCCGCCCGAGAGCCAGCAAATTTTTTTTTGGTTCAAACCCAGCAAAATAATGTCTCCATCATCCCTCACCCTACTCAGCCCTAAATGCCTCCATGATCTTTTCTGGGGTACATACGCCGTTCTTCCCCACTCCTTCCCACTCTGTCACCCCAGGATATTTTTATCTGTGGAAACAGGCAGACAAATTTGTCTTGTTCACTGCACATGCTTCCAAATATTTTGTTTATGTCAGGGTCTAGGCTTGCGAAATTCAAAAACTAAACACTCTTCCTTTAGTTCTCATTTGCATTCTGCTGTGCGGTGCATCCCCTGAAGCAAGATGCACACGCACCAGAAGAAATTCAAGGCAAAAAGGAGTTGATGCTCTCAGCGCTCATTACAAAATGCTATTTCATCGCACGTGTTTGGTCCTACTTGTAATTCCATTCAAGTAGTCATCTAGGTTCCGTTCACTGATGCTGCTATTGAAGTGATGAGCTACAATAAATACCCTCACTTGGGAATTCATGTAAAAACACTAATAAACAAAGCCCACCATTGGAATTCTTGGGACAGAGATCGTTTTTCAAATATTTATGGATATCACAGTTTTTCCTTTAAAGGTTTGCGCTGTCACCATCTTGTATAAGAATATCCATTTCCACATAGCGTCAAGCGCTGAGATTTATCATATATTTTATATTATTATTCAGTTTGACAGCTGAAAATATTTTTGCCTTCTGATTTCCCATGTCATCAGTTATAAAGATGATTTGAATACATCCTCATGATCTATTCTTTCACATCATGTATTCCCTGGACTGTTAATTGATATGTAAAGGGTCAAGTTCAATACCTAAAGTGTGTTAGGCAGAACTTTGCAAGAGTTATGCTTATGTATTGTTGTTTGCGGACACAGAATTTGAGGCAACTCACATTCCCATGGATATTCATTTGAAAGCAGCTGGACACCTCTTACACAGGATAGGAACGAAACATCCTGAGACTGGAAAACTGAGTCACTAACGTCATGCTTTAACGATGCCACTTTATCTCCACTTTGCGGGCAGAGCTAGGACTCATCACGAGGCCCTTGTCCCCGTGCTCGCCTGGTAGTAGTCGTGAAAGGCAGCTGTTGCCGCCTTCTAGGGTCCCTGGAGCACGTGTGGGTTTCAGAAGGCAGAACATGTTACAGTTCATTAGCACAAACGATTTCTGATCTCTTCCAATATGGTAGCACACCTATTTCCCACATCCAGTGTTGTCACTGCCTCAGAGAGAGTCCGCTGCCATAGATTTTCTCACAGGAAGAGTTCCAGAACAGGAAACTAAAAGAAGACTTGGAAGAACTTTAGGAAAAATAGACAAGCACTGATTGCCAGCAGAATGATCATTTCCCCCGTGTACTCTAACAATGGCACGTCTAAAATATTTCTCCCTCTTTTTTTCATACTTATTCATTGTTTTGTTTTATACTTGCCTATACCCTACTCAGACTGGAGTATTCTCTCGCTGTTAGAAAGCACCTTGAAATCTCACTAACTCAGAGGAACTTGCAACATTCGTGCTTCACCTTTATCTTGATCGTCATTGTTCCCAGCTCCGAAAACCACAGTGTGCCCCGAAACCCTCCAGAGTAACTAGGACCATCTCATTTTACAGATGGAGTTTCTCACTTTCTCAGGTGCTTAAAATGCCAAAGTCAACAAGTAGTAGGTTACAGAATCAACAGTAACAGGCTCTCACAGTCTGTGACCAATCTGGCAAGGGAAATGACAGCAGACTTTCATGTGAGTTACGGCGTTTCTTAGAACAGCCCCTACTGGGGCTACCAGTTAGGGGGCCTTAATGAAAAGGCTGCTGCATTGGTCATTTTTCCATTGCTGGAATAAAATATCTTATACTCTCAGTTTAAAGAAGGGGAGGTTTATTTTGACTCCATGGTCAGCGGGCTGCTGGGCAGAAATGACATGGAGGAAGCAAGCTGCACAGCCTATGGTAGCCTGGAAGTGGAGGAGAGGGACAAGAATGTGCCCTCCGAGGTCACAGTCCCAGTGACCCTCGCCACATGCCAGCTAGAGCTCCTCCATGGTCCACTCACCTGTCGAACATGTAAGACCAAAGCTGGCTCTCATGGTTCCACTTAGGCCTGCGTGATGGTTACACGGCTGAGCGAGGCAGCTTCTGGGGTGCAATTCATAGATGAAGAAACCCTGTGACCGCCTGAGCCCCACTCCCCTTTATAGACACCCTCCCAGTACAGACGAGGCCCTGGTGGCGCCCTTCCTCCACTGCACGCCCCTCCCCGGTCAGGATGCTCCGCCGCAGGCTGCCGAGCTCTCCTCTCACTGCATGTAGCTGCACCCTTCCTTCCCGCTTGAGACCCTCACTGTTCTCGGCAGAAGTGAATCTTAAGTTTCATCCAGGGATTTTAAAACACAGAGAGAAGCTCTTGCACCCCTGGAGGCTTCAGATTGCAAACTTCCACCATAATGCAGTTACATCATTTTAGAAAACCTGAGGTCCATAGAGAAACAGCAGTAGGTGTTGGATTGCACCGAAAAGTAAACAGCTCTGCTCAGATTATAACCTTCAGCTAGATGTAGAAGACTGCTTCAGGTCAACACGCATGGTCCGTTTCATATTTAAATGTTATCACAGAAAATTCTGATGTTCGTGATAAGCATTTTCCTTAATAATAGCTTATATGTATTAAATTTGGCAGGATGCCACTCATCTTTCCAGTAAAGAGATAAATCTTTTAAAGCAACATGGTAGGTATCACCATTCTGTAAAAAATAATGTCCCATATATTTTTAAGTTGTATGTCACTTGCTGTAACCCACATAGGTCACTTAACGTTGGGGTAAGTTCTGAGAAATGCACTGGTGGGGGACTTCTGGGTGAATATCAGAGTACTTACATAAACCTAGTGATACAGCAAACTATTCTACAGAAAACTCTTGTTTGTAAGTAGACTACCCTGTAAAATTCAACAACATCAGAGTAGCCGCATGAACAAGCAGCAGCCTGTTTAGCATCGCTGTCCAGCGTTGTGTGGTGTGGAGAGCTGTACATGCTACATTTTATACAACTAGCAGCGACTAGGGCTGTGTACACCAGCACCAGCACAGACTCGGGAGCAACGCCATGCAGTGTTGTGTTTCGGTGGCTATGACACCCCCCCCCCCCCAGCTTTGTGGCTTCCCTATCATCTTGTGTGACTATCGCCTTATGCACAATCTGCTGGCCACCATCCCATTGTTTTGCTACACGTGGCTGACGTTCTCGTGCTGCATGTCACCAGAAGCACCCACGTCAGGCCAAGGGCTGGAGCAAGTGGCGGCCACCGGGAATGAGCGCTCCCTCCACAGCCACAGCTGTAGGTTCTTACCCACTTCAAGGCTCCATTCCAATGTCATGTTTTATTAATGAAGACTTTCATGACCACGTGGTATAAAATACCTGTGCTTCACTCTGCTCTATTTTTCTACGCAGAATTTGTTGCCACATGTCAGCATAGTGTGTGTCTACTCGTGCACCATAACTCGCTCCTCTTAGAAACAGTCTTCACGTGATTAGGCAGTGAAATCTGTGCCGGCATCCCCAGCCAGGCTTAAGGGCACCACGATAGGTCCTTATTGAACATTCCTGGAGTAAATGGACGGATCGCACCCCACCCACCCCGCAAGAGCGATCATGTCCGTGTCAGCAGCGCCTGTCCGCCACATGGTTCCACCCCAGGAGTATCTGGGGGTCTCCTGGGGATCTCATGTCAAAGGTCCCTAGTTTTGAAAGAAATGCAGTTTCACAGAAGCAAGGGAGGCGGCGCCTTCTTTGTCCAGGCACGGAGCGCTGGCGGGGAGGCGCTTTCCGCCCCTGCCCTGTGCCCTCCTGAGCTTGCTGGGGTGCTCCGGCGGCTCACGGGGACCCCCCGCTCAGAGAAGCTCTCAGGAAGATCGCCTTCCATTCCCAGACACCAAGCACATACCCCAGTGGGTGACATTTAGCAATGAAGTGATTTTGACTCTAGCCCTTATCAGTGTTTCTGAAATATACAGTCTAATTAAATTACTCAGAGCTGGACTGTAATCAGGAGCAAGGTTCACGGTCAGGAACCGGAAAGATGGCCAGGGTGCGCATACAGCCTCGGAAGTTACCCAGAAGAGGGCGCCAGTGCTCTGCATGAGGTACACTACCAACACACACACACACACACACACACACACACACACACACACACGCCCTTCACAGACCTTGTATGCAACAAATCAGCTGATACAAAATATGCTCAACATTAGGTAGAAAATATATAGATACGCAATTTTAAAAGTCAGAATCAAAGCCTATCCATAGTACTAAGGGTTTTTTGTTTTGTTTTGTTGTTTATAAAATCTTCTTCAGTCTTGGCCATAATTAACAATTCTACTGGAAATCATTTATTTTCTATTATCAAAAATGGCTATCAGTGCCAATTCTGTGATACTTTATTAAGTAATGAACCTCTATCAAAACTTAAAAAAAGATAAAATATAAGTATTTTGGTAAAAACAATGTTATTGCCAATGATCAATTTTATTTTTTTCAATGCACCAGTTTCAAAGTTGATTAATAGGACAGTTTCAATAATTAATATATTGTAAATTGTTATCTTCTTAGTAGTTATCCATAGTACGAGAAGCAGACAGGATATCCTGTCCAAACACTGTTAGTACAAGTCTTTCTTCTCATTGAATTAAGCAAAAGTAACTGTATATCTATCCTAACTATTCTTCATATACAGATACAAAATGGTCCTTCCTTTGTATCCCCTTTTTTTGTTTAGTCCTGTCAGAGATGGGTATTCCATTGGCATCTAAATACTATAGGTGCGTAAATTCAGCAAAACAATCCAACACAGTCCAGCAGTCCACAATAGTAGTGGGTTATCCACAGAAGTGGTTGACTTGAGCCTTTCACAGTTCAGCATATTAATATGGCTTTACTCTCTATACCTCATTTTTATACTTTTCTACTGGATGGTTAAGACCAAG